ACGCGTGGATGTGATGAAGATTACTCCACACGGCGGGGCGTGGCTCATCTGACTCCTCTCGGCGCATCTCCTGGCTGTCGGGCCGACGGCCACAGCACCATCTCGGCTCGTCTCGGCTATATCTCGGCTATATCTCGGCTATATCTCGGCTATATCTCGGCTATATCTCGGCTATATCTCGGCTATATCTCGCACCCAGTGGGGCCACAGCACCTTCGGCCGCCCGTCGGACAGCCTGCCGCGGTCCAACAAGTCGTCATCTTTCACATCATTGTTAGCGCGATCCTCATTCTCATCACCACTGTCACTGGTCGCCGTCGCGCAGCCTGCCGCGGCGTGTGCCCGTGATCCCCACTGGTCGCGCGGCGGTGTGAAGTGAGCAATCTCCTACCAGTTGAGACTTGAGACTTTGCCTGCCGCGGTCCCAAGGGTCGAGCGGGTCGTCGCCCTCCGGCCCCTTGTTCCAGCCTCGCCAGCGCGCGAGCAGGCCGGGGAAGCCGCCGTGCTGCCCCCGCCGCCCCTGTTCAGCCACCGATCCACGCGCGTCAGGAGAGGTGGCCGGGGGCCTGCACCCGCCCTGTACGAGAGTGTCCCCGCCTGTTCATGCACGCGTCGACTCGTCAAAAGAGGAGGGTGAGGAGGCTGCCCCGCCCCCCCCTCTGCGGGAGGTCATGCTCCGCTCGCCCAGTCTGCGAGCGGCGGCGCGGGCGCCCAGCCAGCGTGGGGCGGCGGGAGGACTTCGAGCTGCAGCCGGCGCCCCCTACGCCGACTATCAAACTACTCTTAGCCTAATAATGTGATTCTCAGAGGCGCCCCTAGGAATTAGCTTGGTAATACCGTTGTTAGGTACCTGCTGATGGCAAGGTACACTATTCGGCGAATAGTTTGATAGTGCGGGGTGCCGTGTGGAGAGTGGTATGGGAGGTATTACTGCCGCGGGGAGAGGCTAAGCAGATCATCTGCTCAGTTTGCGGCCTGGTGCGCCGCACGCCCTTGCCAACGCCATGCTCCTGCTCCTCCTCCTCTGCCGCCGCCGCCGCGCCCGGCCGCCAGCCCTCGTCCAGCATCCTCCCGACCATCGGAGGCTCCGGCGCCTACCTCACTCTTGTTGGTGGTCCGACCTTGGAGCATCCGGGCTGCGCGAGATGCGGTGGAGATACGGGGAGACATGGGGAGATATGGGGGGAGATATGGGGAGATCCGGCACGGCCTTGGGGCATCCAGGCTGCGTGCTCTACACCGCTACCTCAAGGTACTGCAGCTGCTAGGCTGCGGCACCTCGTGGGGCGGATGTGGCGGCGGGGGCGGGCGCAGCGGCGGCGAGGGCGGCGTCGTCGGCGGCGGCGCGGGGGGCGCGGGGTGGCAGCACGTGTAGCTCGCGCCTGGGCAACCGCAACAGTGAGGGTGAGCGGGGGTATGGACTCTTGTGATTCGGGCGGCACAACAGGTGTAGCCCGCGCGCCTAAGCAATGGCGAGGTCGTCACGTCCTTTGGTGCGGCAGGAGGTGCGCAGGAACGCGTGGGTGCGCCAATGAAGCCAAAGCAGTCTCGCTGGGTGCGGATGG